AAACAATGTAGGGCTTTAAAAGTAACCACTAGCACCTTGAAGCGCGTTCGGAGACCAATAGGGAGCCAGTGCAGCTCGTGGAGGATGGGTGTAACATGGGTGTATCTATTTATTGAATATGGGATTTTTTTTTCTCTCTCTCTCTCTCTGTCTTCACTTTGAGTTGTATTTTGTTGGGGGCTGCACTGAGGGAGTTCAATCCATCTCATTGTACATATGTTTTGCACCAACAATAAAGAATTATTATTATTATAGACATTATAAAGATGACACTAAGAGAAAGAAATGAGAATCCAATTTCCTACTTCTCAAAAGCTCAGGTCCATGTCTAAATTCAGCTAGTACCAAGATGACATAGCTATAAATATGACTGTATATACCTTGTCAGCACACATTGCCACTTTGATGTCCTGTTTAGTAATTTCATCATGTCTTATATTTCGTACATAGTTTCCAACCAATTTTAAAATATCTGCAGAAATGTATTCCAATACAGCTACAATGTAAACAGACACTTGATGGTCAACTTTATATCCCAAGACTTCCTGAAAGAGATAAACTTATTTTAATATTTCATTATGCCCAGACACACTTAATCAATGTATACATTTAAAGATGGATAATTGTTCAATCAAAGGACATATAAACATTGACAGGTGCACAAATTTATTCAGCCTTCTGTAGATACTAGAGGAATTATAGTGGAAGCACACCATGAGGGATCAAAGGAGCAAAGATTTACTTTTCATTTCTGAATGTCTGCTTTTAAAGTTTTCATAAAGTGCTATAATACCAGCCACAATTTTTGGATTTTTCTTCTTTGGTTTCTATACCATTTCACTTATGAAGAATTTGAAGTATTCTAAAGCTTGGACATCTGTTATATTGCTGACACCAATAAGAGAATCTATTTATTTGAAACATTTACATGGCTACCCAACTCAGACAATATGACTCAGATTGGCATAAACAGAGTTCAGACCATTAAAAACCAAATAAACCAATAAAATGGCAATCAGAACTGAAATACACAATACTCACTAACTGGGAATTGTGGTCATCCTGAATCAAGCACCCAGAGACAGATCAGATCTTAACTGACTTACTACAAAGTCAGACCGAACTATTTGTCAATGGAGGTAGGGGTGGGGGAAACCTTCCAACGAGTAGGGACCAGGACTGAGAAGGCACACCTGAGTCCTACAAGCTGATACCCAGAGTAAACTCTCTATCTTGCAGCATACAGGGTGAGCAAATACCCTTGGGAGCCGGCAGTCCCCAATATAACCCAGAATTTGATTGTTCAATATTGGATGCTGCACTATTTAACCAAATGTTTAGTATTAGTGTTTTATTGAACGAAGTATAGTAACTCAGATGACACCTTGGTGATGATGGCATATTCAATTTTTTTTCCATGTAAGTGAAATTGAAGTGTTATTTGTTGACAATTTATGCTTTCTTGATAGAAGATGCCTTTTGAAGCTTTTTAACTTCATGCTTGATGATCCATTTCTCATTTTCTTTGCTTTCATAACTTTATAACGATCAAAATCCATCATCTTGGCTTTCTTTTCCCTAGCCTCAATTTTTTTTGCCTATCTGGTGGCTTTCCATTTCTCGTTTTCTTTTTCCCAGGCAATTCGCACACATTTTTGACGAGCACTGTGAGGAAACTAGCATATTCATTTTTAAATTATATTGTACTGTATTTTTCGAAGTATAAGACGCACCTTTTCCCCTCAAAAAAGAGGCTGAAAATCTGGGTGCGTCTTATACACTGAAAACAGCATTTTTTGCCTCCTGAAACCCCACCCCTTCACCAAAATGGCCGTGCAGAGCCTTCAGGAACTTCTGGGGGCAGGGGAGGGTAGAAATGAGTGAAAAAAAGGCTGTTTTTTGCTCACTTCCCCCACCCCGCCCCCAGGAGTACTCTATAAGCCTCCTAAAGGCTATGCATGCCCTTTTTTTTACAAAAAATGGGCCCGTTTTTGTGAAAAACGGGTTGGTTTTGGGAGGTCTGCAGAGTGCAAAAACTTTTTTAAAAAATTGCCTCTTCAAAATCTTGGTGTGTCTTATACTCCAAAAAATACGGTATTTTACCATAGAATTACACAGATTAATTCTTTTTTTATATATAATTTATGCATTTACGAAATATGTAACAAGTAATTAAAATTAAAATCCAGAGTGCCTAAATCTTACATTTAGACTGGCTAACAATACATATTATTTTTCATCTGTATTGGTTATAAAAATAGGTTTAATTTAAATTATTTAATATTGCCACCCATTCTAGAAGATTCTGAGCAGCTTATAAATTCAATAAAGAGTACAGAATAAAACAATTAAAACAAAACTTATATAATAGGCAACCCAGACTAAGGCAACTAGAGCTAGAAACGATGCTGGCAGTATGGAATTAGGCTATTATGGGAAATTGACCAATAGATCACTCTTATATTAACCTCATGCCTTGGAACAGAGATAGGTTTATAATTTCACTTCTTTCAGAGAAATATCACAGAGCTGTCAACCAGTAGAACAGGTTGCATCATGAAATCTGCATCATTTCCCCTTCACTGGAAGTATTTAAACAAAGGATACATTAGCCATCTATCCAAAATGTTTTAATAGATCCTCCCCAAAAAGATAATTAGACAATATGACCTCTGAGATCACTTCCAATTCTGTTATGAAAACTATAATCCTCAGCCTTTCTCCAGAGCTAAGGCAAGTTTAAGTGTTCCAAATCTCCAATTATCATGTGTCACAGACACATATAACAAGGGAGAAATCCTTTTCATAACCTAAAGAAGGGCAGGGATAATGCCTGATCTTTGCTTTGATGAAGCAGTTCCGAGTTCCCCACCATCTAATCCTCATCGGAGTAATGGGAGAAGCAGCACATTGACAATCAAACTTTCTGACGGGCTACTAATGCCACTTAAAATAAGGAGATATCTAATTACAAACTTTATTAATTAAGAATGACAGATTGTTTAAACAAGTTCCAGATGGATTGGAAAATAAATTATATTTATAAGTTTTAAGAAATTGGCTTCTCTTTCAAAATATTACTGGTTATCTGAAAAAAAAAACCCTAATCTATTGAATTTGTAACATCTTATATATTATGTTCATATTACTTACCTTTAAGAGTGGGTGAATTTTTTCTACTGGAAGAAATAATGGATTTCTTCGCTTTCTCTTTTCAATGGCAGATTGCGCATCAGCTATTGCCCATTTATCAATCGGATGAGGAAAACTTTTTTGGACACGATCCTTGTAATACACAGAGGAAGTACAGTTAAATATATAAACAGTAGATACCATTTTGCATTACCATGTCCTCAGTAACTAAAGCTACTTTTGGGGGCAAGGGATATTTTTTTTCCACTCTGTATTTCATTTCACATTCAAAGCACAATGTATAACATGTACAGCAAATTATTTAATACAGAAATATAATTGGATAGGCTCAAATAAAATATGCACAATTGATAAGACCTGTGGTGGTCAATGGTTAGAATGCAATATTACAGGCTAACTCTTCTCACAGCCATGTGTTCAATCCTGACTGACTCAAGGTTGAATCAGCCTTCCATCCTTCCGAAGTTGGTAAAATGAGGACAGAGATTGTTGGAGGCAATATGTTGACGTTTGTAAATTGCACAGAGAGCACTTTAAAGCATTATGGACCAATATATAAGTCTATTGCTATTGATAGGCATTAAAAACAATTAAGCAAATAACAGTCTTATTTGACATCTTTAAAAAATAGTTATAATGTCATTAGACAAATATCCCTACAGAGGAACATTTAAAAGCTGCAATGTCACTAAAGTATGCCTTCATTCCACTTCTCTTACAAAGATACTAAGAGAAAATCCTCATCCAATTATTTTCATGCACAGGTGAGTTAATGGGGGGAATACTCTTAAGATCTTTAGATTTTAATATATTTTGAATATAAAGATATGAACCATTAATTAGAGTAATGCAGCTGCTAAAATTTTATTCAGAATATGATCCCACATATTCAAATCAGCTAGCATTCTAACTGCAAACTTCTGCAGTAGCAAAAATCTGCAGTTGCAGATACCAACATACTCTAAAAGGATCCAACCCAATTTGCTGCTTCATAACATTTTATTTACTTATTTTTCCTATTTCTAAACCTCACATACCCCATATCCCTCCTTTATCTCAAAGGAGTTTTCAATATAGCCGTAGAAACAAACAATGCAAAATTATGTCAAAATTTAATAACAATACAATACATATTTTATATTCAATTATGGGTATTTCTTAATGCAGGTAAGTCTCTTTGTGATCTATGATCACAATTGAAACCAGAATTATCACTAGAAGTCATAGAGTCATAAATCAAATCAGACCTGGTTTTATGACAATTTTTGGTTGCTAAATGCAGCCACTTTGAGCTGTCATTAAACAATCAGTTTTAAGGACTCCCCGTATATCAACAAGAAGAACATCAAGAATGAATGGAATTGGACAATGAACTACAAGTGGTACCTCTACATCTGAGAAACTTCTTGGCTGAGCTTGACACAGCATATTTAGTAACTGCAGAATTAACTCCTCAACATACTGCAAAGCATCATCTGTGGAAGATAGTTTAGGGTGGACTTGCATCTGGACCTATATTCAAAAATAATTGAACATAAGAAAATTCATTACAAAAATGTGGAAAGCTAAAAGTCTGGTGGCCCACAAAAGACATATTAAAAACCTTAGATTCAGACTATAGACATCAAGAGTATTTAAACTGCAGAAAGGAAAAAGAAGCACAAAGAATGAAAGCATCATTACAATCAAGGCAAAGAACTGCATCGAAAATTACTGATTCAATTTTATGAACCACTATGAACTCACTGGATGAAATTGAATACAAAGGAAAGAAAGAGAAGTATAAAAACTTTGACTTGGTCATCTTAAACTAGCAGACAAGGTGATTAACACATTTCCTTTATAGAGTATCATTTATGATTGCAATTCAAATGACTGAAATTGAATATTAAAAACTGACAAGAAATCTTATTTCTTAGAATATTGAAGTAACAAGGGAAAAGGAAAGTTGTAATTCATCCTTATCCATATCTTTTATTATTTTTAAAATATGAAATAAGCTGTACATATAAAGCAGGTGATATATTATGAAATGTAAGGTAAAACATTTATGCATTCTATAGTATATTGTAGATTTTGCTGGGAAAATGGGCGAGATGGGCAACAACCTTTTAAAGAACGAAATGGTGGGAATCCTAAACTTCACCTTAAGTAACACAGAAGTATTGAAAATTCAACGTTGATTGACTTTTAAGTACCACTGGGCACAAAAATATTATAAAGGACATCAGTAGTATACTAATATTGAGTGAGATGGGAAGTTTCTAAATTTGATGTATAAAATAAGTTTTATATTATTTATCTGCAGAAAGCATGATTATAACATTAAGAAACTGAAGTAATTCTTACTTTAATGACAAGACTAGGAGTATAAAGTATTTAGAAACAGCAGTACATCTGAATATCCACTTATACTTTCCGAAACATATAAACACTACCAAATTAATTCATTTTCCTTTAACCTTGACTGAAACCTAATTTTTTTAAATGCCACCATATTCAGTTACTCAGAAAATGACATTGCTTTCAATTGTTAAGTTTCATAACTATTTAGAGATGTAAAACTCATATGCCTTTAGTTGAAAAGCAGACAACAAAAAGATTCAACTCATATTAGCACAATTATTTAGGCGCACCCATTTGATGAAAAAGACTAATATCTGAAGCGAGTAAGAAATAGAATTAGATATGATCAGACAACAATATCTGATGCAGAATACCCTCCTCTTTATTTATTTTATAAACAAAGGAGATTCAAAGGCTATTATTTGATTGTAGAACATGCTAAAGCCAGAAAGTGCTTTGTTTAGTTTTGATGCTCATTAAATAGGCCATCATTAATCGAAGCAAAGCTTAGTTATCACATCTGAGTAAAAGATCCACTAAGCACTCTGTCCTTAACAGTGGGCAGTCAGATATTGAAGAACCTTGTAAGCAGGAAAATAAAGGTCATGATTATCTGCTTGCTTGCCTCAAACAGCTTCTTGCAGCTTTATTGCCTCAATATATGAAGTCCTATTTAATTAACAATCAGTTTCCCATATGTGTATCTAGTGGCTAGGTTTCCTGTACATACATATATGTCAGATCTTGTGAGTTATCAATTTGAGAATTCCAGAAAACTCTAGACCAGTGATGGCAAACCTTTTAGACACTGAGTGCCCAAACTGCGTGCATGTCCAAATGGAAAGGTGTGCGTGCGCACAGACATGCATGCGCGCTTGGACGCATATGCAGCAGAGACCCAGAGATTGGCTGGCCGGCAGGGCATCCCAACACCGGCCGTGTGGCAAGAGGTAAGATCTTTTTCTTTTGTGAGCTTCTGTTTCGTCATTTGCAGTGAAGCAGAAAGATCATGAAAGAAATGCCACAGAGATTTTACCTGGGGCAATGGCATGTGTGCCAGCAGAGAGGGCTCTGTGTGCCATCTCTGGCACATGTGCCATAGGTTCGCCATCACAACTCTAGATCTCACAAATTTCAATCATTTAATGTGTCCTAGAAAAGTGTTGTGTAATAGCAGTGGTCACCTGAAAATGTTATTCTTCTCTACAGTGATCCTTTTAAAAGCTATCTAACAGTGCAGCCCTAACTTTCTGTTGCCTGGAGAACACGCACAGGACATTGCAGAGATGCTGGTCTGAGTGGAAGATGGAGGCTCCAATAATTCAGCATATTTTATTTGCCAAGAATTTGGAAAGATGGAAAGTTATGTCTATGGCTAGATGAAGGGTACTTTCGTAATTGGGCAGCTTAGCTGAATTTAAACTGTTAGACTCACCAGTTATGTCAATGGTACAGTTAATCTATAATCCCTGCATTCAATGGGAGGATGCTTAAAATACAATGCACAGAGTAAGTTGTTCTTCACTTACTGCCCAAGTCAGCAAATACCAGCAAAACTGGGAATAAATAAGACCTACTTTCCAAAGCTATTAGTTCCTTTCTTTCCCCTTCCCTTCATTATTGTCTTCCCTCATGTTTTGTATACATTGTTTTTCCTTACACAGTTCAAATATCAAATAGAAAACTAGAATACAACACAGAAATCAACACAAAGATAATTCCAATATTGTATGAGGTTAAAACAGACATAGACCACAGCTTGTGTTTTCATTTCCTCCTCCCTTGCCTAAATTAACCTCTGTTTGGGTCTTTTGTCCAAATTAGATACTGAGGCTTAATTTCTGCAATCAAAAAACATCAGTTACACATTTGTTTATGAGTAGAACTTAGACCTAAGATTTCTAAATAGTTATTACATTGAGTGATTTGGCTAGCAAATAAAATGAGACATTAATATTAGCTAAATGTGAAAGGAGCAAGTAGTTTATATATATGTACAAATATTTATATTTGTGTGTGTCTGTATATATACAGACACACACACACATTTTTGAATTACAACTAATTCCTATTCCAGAATTAGATTAAAAAGCTATTTCAATAGTGTCAATATTCAATGCAACACTACCATATAGTCACCACCGTGTACATTAAAGATGTTGGATAATGATTATGAATTCAACATTCAATCATAGAGGTTTTATTTGGTGACTTCGGATGATCATTATCTCATCTCATCCTATGTCATAAAAATAGTAAGGAGAAAAAATTGGAGGAAGGACTGAAGGGTACTCTACATTGTATTCTTGAAGGCAATAAAGCTAACATATAAACAAAATATAGATACTATTGATAGTAATAGTTCCTTTAATTAAACTATAGCTTGCAGAAGTATTCAACTCACATATTTTCAGTTAACAAAGTAAAGTAGGGAAGCAGCTGCAAAACCTTATCTTATGCTTTTCAACTGGAGCATAAAAGTTTAAGCACAATCATTGATGTAACACAAATGTACTTAAATCTCAATTGCTCTGAAATGCTAAATCTTAGATCACTGCTCCAATCAAGAAAATGCATGCATGCAGCTATATATATATATATATATATATATATATATATATATATATATATATAAAACATCCATTCTCATAAACAAAATAACAGCAAAAACCTGTAACTTTTTCATCTTCACTTAAATTATATAGAAGAAATTTCCAATCAATGCTACCTTTCATTAGGTAAACTAGGCTACTATGTGCTAATTAAGAAATTAGAATAATTAAACATGATGCAGTTTTGAAAGAAAAACATGCATATAGAGTAGAGTAAAATATGTGGCTAGGCTAAGGCAATATACTCGGAAGTGATGTGCCAGTGCCTGGAAGCTGTTAGGGTCTGGATGGGAGTGAACAAATTCGCACTCA